AGTTGGTCTGCCTCTTCTCTCGTCTGTCTGTGTTTTTATCTTTTCTACCTTCTGCTCATGCCTGGGTAAGAACATTGCAGCTGTTGCATGGGTGATGATAGGAGTCATTCCATGAAGTCAGAGAAATCACCCTTGTCTCCTCCAGCAGATGGTAAAGGAAGAATTGTCCCCCAAAAAAGGTGCATTTGATCTACCTATAATGTGTGTTGACATCAATAGTTAGTGAAATTTCCCATTAGACTCCTAATGAAGAACCAAGAACCCAGGCCCCTGTATGGCTTTCTGCACACGGTGGTATGACAGACAGTAACTGGTTCTCAACACCAGACCCCGGGGCCCTGGGTTTCCTTCAGCAGAGGGAGCGGTGGGAGGTGAGCAGGCAGGTTCTGTGGGAGACACAGACGGGGGGAGAATGCCAGGGAGAGGCCAGCAAGGGAGAACCATGGGTGCCCTCCTTTTTCGCAAACCTTGTGTGGTTCTCGGCTTCACAGTGATGGGAAGGTCTGGCCCCAAGGATATTTTGACACTGTGAGTATACAGCATTTTAATCAAAATTATATTAAATGAATTTTTGTCATGGGCTTCTCCAGAACAAACTTGAATTAGCCATTTAATTTCCCCAATTTTCCATGCAGCCAAATTCAGCCATTTTCTCATTGTTTTTATTCCCTTGTTTGTGACCTTGATCATGTCGGGGTCACCACCTGAGACACTGACCACCGCTTGTGGAAGTCTGGCCTGCAGACCCTGACTCGATGGATGAATGAATGCACTCTCACACCATTACAGTGATTCAAGTGGGCTAGGGATGGGTGGGCTGCTTTCAGAGGGGGAAATGCAACCAATCAACAGAGGTTCTAAGTCAACACACTTGTGGATAATTAACATGGTTTAAAGTGGTTTTATGAATGATAAAAGTGCTTTAGATTCCCGGCCCAGAGTAAACACTATTAACGGGCAATTCCCCTTTGATCTCCCCCTGAGAGGACCCCCAGCACTAAGTTTACATGAGTAAACAGTGGAGACAAAGGGATGTGGGGAAAACAGAGTTAAACTGGGAAAGCCTTTGATTGGCTCTTTCCTATGCTAATGTAAATGAGGCAGCTGCCTTCAGCCTGCCCCAGTAAAACCTTTGGGCCTTCCAAAAGGTTTGAGATTACAATCTATAACTTTTCCTAATATTTAATATTTTGCCAGCCACCTGAGTGAATGAATCTCAACACCTTTTTCTTTCCTCTTTTTTTTTTTTTTGAGACAGGACAGGGTTTCGTCTTACTCAGTTGTCCAGGCTAGAGTCCAATGGCATGAGCATGGCTCACCACAGCCTTCAGCCTTGACTTCCTGGGCTCAGGCGATCCACCCACCTCAGCCTCTCCAAGTAGCTGGGATTACAGATGCGCACTACCGCACCAGCTAATTTTTCTATTTTCCGTAGAGATGGGGTTTCACCATGTTGCTCAGGCTGGTCTTGAACTCCTGGGCTCAAGCGATCTGCCCATCTCAGCCTCCCAAAGTGCTGGGATTACAGGTGTGAGCCACCCCACCTGGGCCCCCTTTTCATTTTGTTAATTTATTTTCACAACAGTCAGTCCCTTCCTCAATTGAATAACATTATTTTCTATCACTCTTCTTCCCTATTTTAATGTTATCCTTTTAGTCATATTTTAGTCACATTTTACTAATTACAGCTTCTGCCATCGTGGGGCTTTTTTTTTCTTTTAATCACCATTATTTTTACCAATTCAGTTTTCTTCATGTTATCCTGAATCAGTTTTATTGTGCATTGAGTTTATTGTGCATTGAGTTTATTGACTGTGCCCAGTTTTCTCTGGTAACTGAGTGACAGCGTCCTCAACATGAAAACTTTAGCATCTCAAAGTCCTCTGCTTTGGGCCTTTCTGAAATAAACAGGCTGTGGGCCTCCCTCCCCAGCTGCCCTCAGGACCATCCACGCAGGAGGAATCAGGGCTTCCTTGGAGATTTCTAGCGAGCCTTTAACATTTTGCTAAGGCACCATTCTTCAAGGCTCCCAGCCAACATGAGGGAAGAAGGTGTCCACAATGTATGTCCCCACCTGTGCTGGGCATGGGACCTCAGTACACCAATGGCTGGGGAGGGGTGATTGTTTGCATTGTTTTTAGGGCTCACTGAACAGCCAAGCACTTGAAAGACTTCTTCTACTAGGACTTCCCAGCCACCCAGTGCAGTGGGAAGATAGCCATCCCCACCTTATAGACGAGGTGCCTGAGTTCCAAGGCAGCGAGGTCAATCACAGTTCTGCCTGGCTACACCACACCTTCTCCCCATTCAGTCCTTACCAGATGAAGAAATGAGTGGCAGCTGGGGCAGACTCCCAGCCAGAGCAGAAAGACCACGGGTTCAGGTGCTGCACCCAAGGAGAAAGTGAAGGATCTCCTGGCTCTTCCTCCTCCCCCGTCCTCCCCCAGGACCCGAGCTGCTTTCCACCAGAGGAGGGAGCTGGGAGGAGAAAATTGAAAAGATGTAGAAATTCTCCAAAATACCATCTATTTGGCTTCCCACAGCCCTTTATTTCCAACAGGTGAGGTTAAAGTCGTGCCAAAATGAATGAAAAGAGTGCCACTCCATCCCACAACCCAGAGAGAAGTTTGCTTCAAAGATCTTGTCTGCTTTCCCACTAGTCCTGCTCGGTTGGAAAATGCTCCACACTTCTGAACACATGTAGGAAAAAGTGATTGCTATTACTAAAGACATGAACATTTCCAAATAACAAAATCACATGTGGCAAAACTTCTGAGCATTTCTGTTGTTTGGGGCCATTCCTGTAAACCAAGTCTGTTTGCCCCTTATTGCTGCATCTCACCACAGCCGCCAAACTTCCCAGCCCACTTAAGACACAGGCAGGCTGAGTGCCGTGGCTCCTGCCTGCAATCCCAACACTTTGGGAGGCCGAGGCAGGAGGACTCCTTGAGCCAGGAGTTTGAGACCAGCCTGGGCAACACAGGGAGACCCTGTCTCTACCAAAAAACAAAAATTATCCAGACTCTGTCTCTACCAAAAAAATAAAAATTATCGAGGCAGCAGTGAGCCAAGATCATGTTACTGCACTCCAGCCTGGGTGAGAGGGCAAGACCCTATCTCAAAACAAAAACAAAAACAAAACAGTCTGCGTATGGACTTGGGGGCCCCTGAAAATATTTAGCAGAGCCATCCTTCAAAGCTGCTGAAATGGGGAAGACTAGGGACGGAGCAGCGTGATGCCAAGGACAGGTCTCTAAGTTGAGGTCACAGGGTGGCCCAAGGCCCTGGACATCAGGGCAGCTGCCTCTACAGTGGGCATAATTCAAGGCAGTAGCTGCCGAGCTGAGTGGGCTCCTGTAAGAAGAGAAGTGTCCGTCTTCTCATCAGCCTGAAGATTTGCATCTCTTCAGCCCCGCCCAGTCTCTGGCAGGAAGCCCACTCCCCAGCCGACACTGCGCATGCTCATGGAGGAAGCTGTGCAGCACAGCTCAATGCTGTCTTCCCCTTTTGGTTTTCTAGAATAGTCTTGCAGAACTTTTTTTTTTTTTTTTTTTTTTTGAGACAGAGTCTCCCTCTGTATGGAGTACAGTGGCATGACCTCATCTCACTGCAACCACTGCCTCCTGGATACAAGTGATTCTCCTGCCTCAGCCTCCTGAGTAGCTGAGATTACGGGTGTGCACCACAACGCCCAGCTAAGTTTTTTTTTTTTTAGTGGAGACAGGGTTTCACCATGTTGGTCAGGCTGATCTTAAACTCTTGACCTCAGGTGATCTGCACGCCTTGGCCTCCCAAAGTGCTGTGATTACAGGCGTGAGCCACCGCACCTGGCCAGTCTTGCACAACTACTCTCACTTCACAGAGCTCAGTACAGTTTAAGGCACAGCGAAGGTGCCCAGCAGACCTTTGATTATTTTTCATGAAGCATAAAGTTTTGCTCCTTGGAAATAAATCCTCGAATCAGAGCCTTCCTCAGGAAGCCGGCTCTACAGATGACCCAGGGGAACAAGCCGGGTGTTCCAGTACCCAGGATTTCTTGTTTTATGTCATTTTTTAAAAACCCATGGTTTCCAGTATCCTGTGGAGTCCTAGGTTTATTCCCAGCCTTGGCCTCAGTTGTCAGGCTGGCTATTCCTTTTCATCTGGGGGCTTCAGCTCCTTCCCATTTTACCCACCAACTCCTAATCATCTCTCCTGCTCTACTCAACTGTCTTTTTCTGGAAACTCTTCCTGCATAACCTAATTTACAGCAGTCTCCTTCTGCTAATTTCTAAAGCTGCCTGTTCTTATCACAATTTTAATCAAACTATATATTTTTTTCTTTTCTGAGTATCACTCTGTTGCCCCCCAGCTGGAGTGCAATGGCACAGTCTCAGCTCACTGCAACCTCTGCCTCCCAGGTTCAAGCGATTCTGCTGCCTCAACCTCCCAAGTGGCTGGGCCTACAGGCATATGCCACCATGCTGGGCTAAGTTTTATATTTTTGGTAGATACAGGGTTTCACCATGTTGGCCAGGCTATTCTCGAACTCCTGACCTCAGGTGATCCACCTGCATTGCCCTCCCAAAGTGCTGGGATTACAGGTGTGAGCCACCATGCCCAGCCTAAAGTATACTCTTAACCCAGGGTGAGCACACACTGCTATGATCAATGATGGTGTGAAGTGATAGGGAGTTTTGGGGGCTGTGGAGGGAATATGGTCACAGAAAGGCCGGTTTCACTTGGCTCCAGCAGAAAAACTGTTTCTATGAGTGTGTGTCCAGTGTTTGTGGACCTCCCATATCCTCACAGGAGGCCAGAACCTGGAGTTTTAAAGTGAAATGCCCCCCAATATTTGTACTGACAATTTTTAAAAACAATGTAGGCCAAACAAAACGCATAGGTGGGACAGGCGCAGTGGCCCACCTATTACACGCCTGTAATCCCAGCACTTTAGAAGGTCAAGGCGGGCAGATCACCTGAGGTTGGGAGTTCGAGACCAGCCTGCCCAACATGGAGAAACCCTGTGTCTACTAAAAATACAAAATTAGCAAAAACAAAAACAAAACAAAAACAACTAAAAAAACAACCATATAGGAGGCTCTGAGTTTGTAGGCAGCCTGTGGTTTAACATCTTTCTATCCCGTTCAACTCAGCTCCACGGGGCACATGCCGTCTCCCCTCTGCTCATGACAATGTCTGGATCAAACAAATAGATAATGAAAACATGATGGCCTCGCCCAGCAAATCTCCAGGGTTGGAAAGAGTCCCCTGGCAGGGAATTGGCACCCATTATGCCCCTCCTCTCTCTCTTACTGTCTACTGGAAATGTCCCCATCTCCCTTTGAGTCCTCCTCCAGGGCTACCCAGGAGCTTCATTATCCTCTGTCCTGAAATCATCACAATGACCAGAGTGGCCTCAGCTCAGGGCCTCTGTGACATCACCAAGGGCCTGGCACCAGGTGCCCAGTCTCCCAGTTGCAAGAGCAAGCAAACCCATCATGAGCAACTCCCTTCCCCATCTCTGCTCACCATGTGGATGCTGAAATGGTTCCTGGTCCTGCTTCTGTGCCTCATCTACAGCTATGCCTTTATGTTCTCTCCTCTGAGAGAGAAAACTAATGAGCCCCAGGGGAAGGTGCCATACGAAGGGCACTTTCGGATTCGGCAGAATCCAGCAGAGCACACCCAAGGCTGGCTTGGGAACAAATGGCTCTGGCTTTTGTTTGTTGTTGTGCTGTATGTGATACTGAAGTATCGAGGAGACAGTGGCAAGAAAAAGGTAAGGATGGCTCCATTTTTTTACACCACATTGATTCAATCTCA